TGCTGCCCCAGCAGAGGTACCTGCGCACAGAGGGGGCCGAGGTGAGCGCCCTGGAGAGGAAGAGGAACGTCCTGTGCTGCCTCATCACCCGCATCCTCAAGGGGGAGAAGCAGCTGCACATCGACAGCCTGGTGTTCAGGGTACGGGCTGCAGGGGCACGGGGGGCACAGGGGCTGCCCGGGGGCTGCAGCCACTGCACTGGGGCTGCCTTGCTGCCACAGGTGATCGACGCCTGTCAGAAGGGAGAGCTGGGCCCAGGGGTGCAGTTCCTGAGCTTCTGCTGCCACAGCGTGGACGTGCTGTCCTGCATCCTGCACCTGCTGAACCAGGGCTACCTGCGGCGCCAGGAGGGGAGGCCTCACATCTTGGAATACATCTCTGCTGAGTCCACAACACCTCTTGGTGGCCAAGCACAGATGACTTTCCGGTGCAGGCCAGCCCAGGAATCTGTGGAGAAGGATGGCAGAGACAGCCTGCACTGGTAGGGGTGCATGTCACCAGGTGTGGAGGGGTGTGCCTCTCCACCCTGTGTGTACATGGCACGTTTCTCCATGCCAGGCGGGATCCTGGCACAGACAGGGCGGAGGAATATCTCATGGCAATGCTGCAGGTGCCAATGGGCCACACGCTCAGTCCAGAGGAGGCAAAGCTGCTCATGAACCAGACAGTACAGCAGGTCCAGGACACTCTGAGCATACCAGATGATGTTGCTCGGCACCTGCTCATGCACTGCAGGTGGAATGTGGATTTCCTGATCCAGTGCTATGTGGAGAACCGTGAGGGCCTGCTCATCTCCTCAGGACTGCAAGTGCAGGATGTCCAGCCTCCCCCAAGCCCTGGAACCCACTGCCCAGTCTGTGTGAACCAGCTGTGTCCCACTGAGAAGCCACCAACCCTTTGCTGCATGCACTACTGTTGCAAGGTGAATGTCCTGGGCCCTTTGGTTCCTGCTACTTGACAGGCAATTGTAAAGTAGCTCAGCTCACTTTTTTGTTGTGATCCTTCACTTGCTGGCTTGTCTGTTCCCACTTTTGTGCTTTGGGGTACTTATCTGTGATCTGTGGGGTGCTGGGTGGGGATGGCTTCCAGGGTCACACAGCCCTGCTTAGCTCTGATCTCTGCTTTTGTGCCCTGGCAGCCCTGCTGGAGGGAATATCTCACAACTCGCATTGAGCAGAACATGGTGGTCAACTGCACCTGCCCCATATCCGAGTGCCGAGCTCAGCCCACCACAGCCTTCATCTACTCCATCGTGTCCTCTGAGGAGATCATAGCCAAGGTGAAGCAGCAGGGGGGCTGCTGGCTGTCCAAGCTCTCCTACATTTTGCTCAGCACAGTCAGATAATTTTATTGCTGCTTTCCCCTTCCTGTTACCAAGACTGGCAGCTTGATGATGGTGGCCAGCCAGATTTTGTCTGTTTTCTCTGATTATGGTCAATACCAGCTGCTCAGGAAAGCATAACATCAACAAAAGAGCACAGTGGCATTTCCTCTAAATATATCTCTAGCAGGCAGCATTTCAGGGACATCATTAGTCCAGGACTAGATGAGAGCCATGGTAGCAGCTCATGACAAGTATCCTCTACTGGTGTGTTGGATCCAAAATAATAATAATAATAATAATANACCCCAAGGGCGTGCAGATGCTGCTGGGTGGCCTGGACGATGGCAGCCTGTGCAAGGAGGTGGTGGTGGCCCTGGAGCGGCAGCTGTGCAGCCAAGGCCCCGTTCCCTCTGGCCAGGTGGCCCAGCTGCTGCAGGACCTCAGCTGCTTCAGGCTGCTGCTGCGCAGCTTGGAGCTGCTGGGGACAGAGAAGGCCGTGAGCCTGAGCATCCTCAGGTGGGTGCAGGGTGACTGGGGGGCGCTGGGACCCCCTCATGAGGTGTGTGAGTGCTGGGGTCATGGTGGGGAGAGCCAGTGCCTGTGTGTGGGTGCTGGTGGGGCTGCTCTTCCCTGGGGCAGGCTCACCCCAGCATGTAGGCAGGTGCCAGTTGGGGTGTCCTGGGGCACAGGGCCACGTGGGGCCACAGCAGCTGTGCCTGGTGTGGTGGGGACATGCAGGGGCAGCAGAGGACGTGCCTGGGGGCTGGTGGGCTGTGCAGGGTGCCAGGGGAGCCTCAGTTCCCAGTCCCTGAGAGATGCCTTGCAGGTGGGGCAGGGAAGCAGGGCTGCCTGTAGCCCTGCTGTCCCTGTGCCCCAGCCTGAGCAGGTCCCCTCTGTCACCCAGGATCCTGAACAGGTTCCTGGACAGTTACCAGGAGGATGTGCTGCCCTGGCACGAGTGTGTGGAGCCCTGTGTGTCCTTGCTGATCACGCACAGCAGCAGCTGGGAGGTGAGGGGGCCCTGGGGCTCGTGGCAGGCAGGGTGGCTGTGCTGGCTGTGCCTCAGCTGGGCTGGGCAGGCAGGGCTCCGCTGGTGGCCCCAGCCTGGCCTTGTGTCCGAGGCACTGGGAGAGGTGGGAGGGGCTGTCCTGGCCTTGTGTCCCTGTCCTGGTGGCCATGCCCAGTCTGGCTGTGCCCTGCCAGGCTCTGGTGGGTGCTGCTGGGCTGGGAGGGGGGCACTGGAGCTGCAGCTGCGGCTGTGGGGGCCCTGGAGCTGCCAGCAGTGCCCGTGTGCTCAGGGCTGCGTCTCAGCAGGTGCTGCAGGAGGTCGTTGGCTTCCTGCACCGCCTGGGCAGTGCCAGCAAGGACTGTGTGGTGGTGATGTGCCACGTGGGCACCCACGAGGCTCTGTCCAAGGCCCTGGAGAAGCACAGCACGGTGCCGCCGTTGGCGCCGGCCCTTCTGGAGCTGCTGGCGGAGTGCGAGAAGTTCGCCGGGCTCTACAAGAAGCTGACGAGCAGCATCTTGGCTGGCTGCATCCAGGTGGGCTGGGGAGGCACAGCTGTGCTGGGATTGGGGTCTGGGGGCACCAGGCTGTCCCTGCTGCCGAGGGATGCCTCGTGCTCTGTGCCTGGCACAGCCCTGCGGGGCTGAGGGGAGCAGGAGCCCCTGGTGAGAGCCCTGCCCCATCCCACAGCTGGTGCTGGGACAGATTGAGGAGCACCGCCAGAGCCAGCAGCCCATCAGCATCCCCTTCTTTGATGTCTTCCTGCACAACCTGTGCCAAGGTGAGGGCAGGCAGGGGCAGCTGACCCCAGGCTTGGTGGCTGGAAGCTGCATGTGCTCTGCCCACAGGCTCCAGCATGGAGGTGAAGGAGGACAAGTGCTGGGAGAAGGTGCAGGTCTCTTCCAACTCGCACCAGGCCAGCAAGCTCACGGACAGGAACCCCAGGACCTACTGGGAGTCCAACGGCAGCACGGGCTCCCACTTCATCACCGTGCACATGCAGTGTGGAGTGGTGATCAGGTGGGGCTGGGCCGGCAGGGCTGTGTGTGCAGGAGAGGGCTCTGGGGATCTGTGCCAGCCCTGCCACAGTGGCCCTGTGCTGGGGATCTGTGCCAGCCCTGCCACAGTGGCTCTGTCCTGGGGGATCTGTTCCAGCCCTGCCACAGTGGCTCTGTCCTGGGGGATCTGTTCCAGCCCTGCCACAGTG